TGCTTTTTTTTTCTTAATATTTTATTGAAAAAGACTATTTGGTTTAAAGTCTTTCAAAATTGACATAGGTTTGTAAAACTTTGCAGGATAAATTATCTAAAGTTTAATTTTCTTTAAAAAAAAAGTTCTAAAAAGAAAACAAAATGTGCACACAGCTTGAATTATGTGCAAATTATCTGAAAGTAATTTTTTTTTAGCTTTAAATGTTTTAAATACATTTACAACAAAATAGAAAAGACAATACTAAATACAATCAGTTAAATTTACAGGAATAACAGTTATATTTAGAACGTTATATTCGATACATTAGTCTTAAAACCATTTTCTCACGTTAAATATTATTATTTCCCAGAGATGATGATAATAATAATTGTATGATGTACATCTTGTGCCTTTTTAGTTTTATCTTGAGTCAAAGAAAATATTTAACTAGCGATAATATTTAGAGTTGAATCGCCTCAGCACACACAAACACGCACGCGCGCAGTAAGCCCCGCCCCTGGCTCCTCCAGCTGATGGCCTGTGTGTGCGCGCTGCATGTTTGGGATTGTTGTGATGGGAGGCCGCGGCCATCTTGGATGAGAGTCGCTCGGCACCGAGCAGCGGGACGGGACGTTAACGGCAGAGCGGCTCAGCTAGCTAACGTTAGCCCCTCGGAAGCACGACCCTGGTCGCTGAGCGGTACGACTATGCTTGTGCACACGCTGTTTTCTTCCCTCAGTTGCCGCTCCGACTGCGTGAAAATGGGCACAAATTGCGTTCAGCTTTTCGCGGTGTAGTTTCGGAAAGGGCGGCGGCGGTGCAGATCCTCGGAATATATCTTACATTTCTGGATAGAGGAGTTACTATGAATGGAGGATAAATGTTGCCGAAAGCTGACAGCAGCAGTTTCGTCCTCTTCTCTCTTCTCTTCGTCCTCACCTTAACGGACCCACCACGGGCAGGTAAATAGCCTCTCCGAGTTGTTTTTCTTGTGCATGTATTCCCCTCGGGCTCCGCTAGAAAGTGGGAGAAACGGATTAGAGCTGGAGGCAGGGGGCGGCAGGTTCACCGGTGAGGCCTGCTCCACAAGCCGGGGACTCCGGTACTTTTTAACCCGTGTTCCTGCTGCTGCTGCTGCTGGACATTGGGGAGGACCCCTTTACTTCTGCTGCTGGCACTCTTGTTATGTTTAATCTTTTAAAGTAATGCCCACGAGCTTGAAATCTCTAAACGAAATTATAATTTATTTCACCTGAAAATCAAGTAAGGCTGTGTGTTGTTGTCAAAATAAACATGGTCGCTTCGAGTCAACCGTCTAGTTTTGACCCTTTGATACAGCTCATAATCATTTATTCACTTAATTATGCTTACGCAAGGTGGAAACGATATTTTGGCTCAATCCAAAGCTTTGTAAACAATGTAGGTGTATTTAGGCTTCATACATTCCAGGGTTGGTCTCCGCTTCCGCCGTGAAGCCTCAATTTGAAATGCATGTCAGAGATTCATGCTCCTGCATCACTAAACCTGTCTCACATCATAGAGCTGCAAGCCCAGGCACATCGCACTACACACTGGTGTGATGACTAAAACGATACAGCTGTCTAAAGGAAACTTCTTAGTTGATGAATAGAGATTAAAGGGTAATGCGTCATATGTCTCTGTGGCAACATAAGCTCGTAAGCTAATACTCAGGGCTAGTGGTGCCACTATATGAATATAGTGGTCAAAAAAACATCTGTATAGAAAAATTCAGTTTAACTTCATTTATTGGATGTTTTGTCTTATTTTGACAAATTGCTTGCACTAAAAATCTGCAGCACATTAGTGCAGGGTGATGGTAAGGGAGTGTAGCCAGAAAAACACCTTTCTTGGATGATTATATATATATTAGATTCCACAAAAGACGGGGATTGTGTGTTGCAAAACAGTTTTCTAAAGCTGAGTTTAGTTGATTTAAGTTTAAATACAATAAAAGGAAAATGTTTGTTAAATCAGGTAACACAGGCTTTTTGCCTTAACTACATGCGCCCTGATCAATATCAAAAGTCACTGCCAAAAGCTCATTTTGAGCTAAAGGAACCCTGATTTATGTCTATTATTAACATCATGGCAGTATTTATGTTTTAAATATCATGGCACCCCTGCACAGGACACACTGTAACATTTGAAAAGGAAAAAGAAACAATCAAATCCCTAAACAAAGAAATGCATTTTTTTTTGTGTGTAAAACTACTCTCCATTTTAACACAATATTGTTTCATATCTGTAAAAACCACCCAAAGTAAGAGATTATCAACTGATGTTTAGGAACAACCAATTTGACTTGTGTGTATTGTGTTGAAGAGATGCCCACTTAATAAGAACTAGTGCTGGGCTATACTTTTGTGTAATACCATTTTACACCCGAAGATGGTTTAGTGAGTCAGTGTAACCTTTAATGAGGCTTTTTATAATTGCAGCCTGGCACAAAAGAAACAGCAGTACCTAAAAAGAAATGCCAACAGTTAAACAGCAGCTCTTGTCTGAAAGTACCCGAGCACATCCACTGGTAAAATGCTGCCCCCTGGTGACAGTGAATAATTATAAAATACACCTGGAAGGTCATAGAAATCCAAACAGGTAAAAATGTTTATTATTTGTCTCTGCTGTAAGTGTAAACTTTTGTTTCAAATGCAGAGCTTGTAAGGTGCTGTTTAGATGTCAATTTGAGCAGGGAAAGGCCAAATGCGTCTTGTGGTTTGCTTTAATCCCGATCTTGTGATCCTGACATTCAGTTCAGACTATCAGTTCAGCCTCATGAATAAACACTTTATTGTCTGCCTTGATCCAAAGGAGAAACAATTGGTACACCAAACAGGGCGTGCTTTTTATTGCCCGGTCGTGTGGAGGTTTGTTCCCTGGGCAAATGTTTATTTATATTAGGAGTTTCCAAAGAGTACAGTCATGATTTTCTTAAATGCTCAGGAGTGAATGCATCATCTTGTGTTTTTATAATTTGGGCTGGCTTTTTTTGTCACTATTTCAACCATGACTTGGTCATTTGACTTGAGATCAAGACTGCGGGAGTATAACTCCAAATCTGAAAGTACATGTAAATAATTGCTTAAGACTTCCTGTTGTGGAGACATTAACTTGGTATTGATGTAACCCGCTAAACCACATCATCCTCATACATTTTTAACACTTATAAAGGGCATACCTGCTTTCTACATTTGTTTCACAGCTGACTCCAGCAAACTCTCAAAGGTTCAGATTATGCATTTTCCAATGAGGCAGGCAACACTGAAGTGTCACACATTTTAGGGCAAATGTATGTGATCGAGATCATCTCAATTGGCCAGCTGAGTTTCACGTGCAAATAAGGCAAATCATCAGGTTTCCTGCATTTGCATGATGGATAACAATACACGCTAGAAGCAGTATGTATGGTTAAGATAAAGCAGAAATGCACATGACAGGCCCAGTGGTTAGCATGTGTCCTGTGGGTTACAGAGACTAGAGGTGAACCGAGCTGTCTGAGAGTGAAAAACTTCAGTCTGCGCTATAAAAAAAGAGTCAAGAGGTTAAGCACAGCCAACAGCGTATAAAAGTGAACAGAGCTTGGTTGTTTTTGTGTAGTGTGACTGACACAACCATCAGCTTAAACTTGAGCTGCAGTCAGCTAATCTTTGGGTCTTGTCTGGCTCTGAGCAGCCAATTTGTGTTGCACTGTCGGCTGTTCAGTAGTCTGTTTTTCACAAAAAAATTGGCGGTGTTTCAACCTGTGCCATTTATCGTTTGAGGATTTTAACAGGTAGACTTGAAGTACAGCCACGCAATAATACAGTGATGCAGTTTATTGAAAGGTCACTGAGGCAAATGTTTGAAACATGACATGCGGGTAAAACAACTCTGCGTACGTGTATTCTGGCAGCTAGCGAAAAGCAGTAAATGAGATAATATGGCGCTTGAGAGAACTCGTGAAATTTGATGTCAACATTGTCCAGACATGAGGCTAAGTTATGGTTTCCATTTGGTTGTTTTATGGGGTAAATAGTGTCTATACGGGTGAATTACTTTCTTCTGCAGGATTGCTGTAAGACAGCCCTCATCCCCTTTCACATTTCTGGCTGTAGAGCAAAACTTTTTCACTTTGACACTTCTCGTCCTGGTTTGCTGGGGACTGCTTTTGTAGAGGAATTTAAAATAATATAGAAGTGACTCAAGGACTGATTTCATAAGGCATCTTATAGCTAACATGGTGAATTGGTCTATAGAGATAATCCGTATTGCCCCTTTGACACTACTTACTTTGGAAATAGTGTTAACTTTTTCTAATAACATTGTAGCTTCCAGTCACACAGCTCTGTTTACCATTTTAAATATTAAGTGTGTTTCACAGCTGAACTGACAGTGTTAGCACAGGAAAGGCGCTTTACTTTGGTTAATTATCACAGGAAGCTGGCCAGCAGTGCTTTCATGCACAAGGTGCGGATAAAAATATGGCTTGTTAATGTGAGAAGGTGCAATGAAAAAGAAATAAATGAATGTCCATACCCACACAGTGCTTTTAACGGCAAAGCTCAGTGCTGATATGAATCATCAGCAGCTGGAGATGATGCAGTGTGTGCACAAAGCCGGTTCACTGTGCCGTTACACTTGAGCAGGACCGAGCTGGGGCAGTCTCATAGTCTTTATTGTGCTTTCCTGTCGGTTATATAAGAGATGCAGAGGCTCACTTCGCTCAGGGTAACCAGTGTTTGCTGATTCTTTTGTCAACATGTACAGATCATAAAATCCTGGAAAAAAGCGTCAGCAAGGGATGGGGTTTTTTGGTTGTTGTTTTTTTTTTTGCCCCTGTTGCCTTTAACTAAACTGAGATCTATGATTTTCCGACCTTGTGTTTTCCCGCAGCAGTAACAAAACAATAACTACCTAATCATTGTTATTCTGATATATGAACAGGTTGGATATGCACAAGCCCTGATTTCAGCTTGTAATGTCTGATAACCTAAAGCAGGCAGCTGCTGGCATCTTATTCTGATTCCAGTAGCATTTGTGGGTTTTCAAGCAGTACAGATACCAGATATGCACTGAAAGCATGAATACTGATGTGCACAGACAGCCATTATTCAAATGGAGCACATATGCTTGTATTTTATAGTTCTGAGGGAGCACATGTAGCTATATAAAGAGTCAGCCAGTAACAAGCTGGATTTGGCTTTGTTTGCTTCTTAGCCTTAGCAACAAGTCTTATTGCAATATTCATTAGTGGGAAATGTATGGGGAAAAATTTTTAAATTAAAATATTGTTCCCTGTCGGAGGATTTGTTACAATTATCTGGCAGCCTTGAAGGGAAGAGGAAAAAGCTCACATCCTTTTCTGATAAAGTGTTTATTCAGCTACACACAGCAAGAGGCTTGGTTTCTTTAGCAAGTCTGCAAACCTGTACATTATAAGGTAATTGGTTATTTCGTTTGTAATATATTTAATACACAGGAAAATGTTTCACAATAAAAGCCTGCACGTTTCAATAAACTGCATTGCTGGTGTCCACTGAAACATTAGGGATTTTGATTTGAAGCAGCTTTTATTGTGGCATATCAGAGGTTTTATCAGAGGTTTTATTGGGCTGTGTTTTATTTATCTTTCTGTAAATAAAAAGCATGGAAAGTCAAGGTGTCCTCATGATCAAATTTCAGGGTCGCCACTTCCCAAAATCCTATAACAACCAACAAGTTTCAGAGCTACTACCATAGCCTGTGGGTATCCACATAAAAGATCACACATAAGTCTGGATGTCCTTTTTTGTGTTTCAGTCACTGTTTGCAGTCTGACTATGAGTAAGGAGATTTTTATTTAAAGTCAATAAATAGCTGAATTGTCATTGGACCAAGTGTTAATGTGTTTGAGATTCATTTCAGCCAATGTATTCCTATTTTCCAAGTCTGTGCTAGTCAGTAAGACTCAAAATAGAAACCAGAACTGCTAATAAAAGTCTTGTTTGCTTCCTGCACATGGAGAATACTATATATCAGAAACTAGGGTCTCAAATTAGCATTTATAATGCAGGAAAATACCCCAAACAATTAAAAGCATTGCACCGGTCCAGAATGGCTGGTCCAAATTGCTCCAAAGATGAATTGACATCCAATGTGGACAATGTCTGATGTGCTTTCCTTCCATGTTTCTATGAGACTTAAAAGATGTGAAGTTGACAGAGTGCAGACATCTAAATCTACTTAAGACACCTAGGATCACACTCTGGAAAAAAAGGGATAATATTCAGAAACTTAATCACAGAGACAGGAAGTGCCTGAACAGGGACTCAAACCAGTGACCTGCACGTTACTAATCGGTTATTCGGACCTCCAGTCTCTCACTCGGCTTATCCCCCCAACACAGCACGCTCAAACTGACCCTGATCCCTCCCAAAGTGTATAAATCCCCCCTGTGGAAGCATTTAAAGGGGAAATCCCCTCACTTTTGAAATAGGATGGCCTGCAGTCATAATGTCATGACTTTAAGAGGGCAAATATGAGGGAATCTGAGCGAGGCTTCATTCAATGCACTGATTAAACTGGGGCATTAGATTAAAAAAAATCGGACTCTAAAACAAGCCTGCTTCCAACTAAGGGCTGTCACCTTCTGCCCCTGTTTGATTAAACAAAGCTTTTTAACCCATCTGCCAACAATTATTTATCATAAACTCAAGGATGAATTATTATTATTAGCTCCCTCTAATGTGTTTAATTGTTAATGTCTTTAAAGTTATCTGTCATTTTGACACACATTTAGGTTTGATGATGCACTCATTCCCTGGAGACTGAGATGTGTCTGTAATGCACCTCAATCCACTTAGCATTAACCAAGAGGTGACAGTTCTGTGTGAGATGGCAATTAAAACACCCGTGGACTGTGTGATCTTGTTAACCTTAAGGGTTACAGGTTCAGTAGCACTGCTTTGATCTAACATTAGCTTTCCTAAGCTTAAACTAACAACTCTGCTGCTGTTTAACCCTCGGACAAGCATTACACTAAAATATAGATGAACTGGTAGCTTTGTAATGCCTCCAAGAACAAATTGCAATGAATTCATCCCAGCCACAGTGTCTTTTTTTTTTCTACATCTTGCTTCCCTATAAAATAGGGATGTATAGTCCAGTACTAGAAAAAACTTTTTAATGTTTAAATCATGGTGTAAAGCCCAGTGAAAAGTTCCCACAGTGTTGTTAGTTTCTAAGAAATCCTTGTGCAGTAAGGTTGCAGCAATCAGAACTAGGCTTTCTGGAAATCCGGTGGTGTTGTTGGGCTTTAATGCTTGTTGCAAAAGAACGGTAGCTAAATAGTTTGGCTATAAAAGTTGAAGTATGATGGTAATAAAGTCAGACATCTGGGAAATAACTTTTATTTTGAAAATCTGATATCAAAACTGACTCAACTGACAGCTTTTATTTGGGAAATCTGATTTTTTTTCTTGTAATTGCTTATTTATTTTGCGCCACCTGTAGTACAAATAAATAATACGTAACACTGAAGTCCAGTGTAGGTTGTAGTCGCAGCTGTGTTGATTTTCAAAGCTGGAGGTCTGGTTTTAAATTAAATAAGCTTTTTTTTTTCTCCCTTTCTCTCTCTTCTAAGAAAAAATAGCGTTGCTATATTTGTCAGGCAAGTGGGTGATGCAGCTCCTCTGCAGGTTTACATGACTACCTGTGTCCTCACAAACAAGGGGGTGGAGAGAACAGGTGACAGTAAGAAATAAAGAAAAAATCACGAGCAGCATAAAAAGGATAAAAAAATGTAACTTTTTTTTTAAAATCAGACTGGATTAAATGAAATATATTTTTACATTTTTTTTTTGAAAGACGACACACTGATATACAGGCTAGTCACTTTATTATTTTTTTTTCTATTTGTTTCAGGTCCGCGGGTAGCTCTGGCAAGATTATTGTCAGGTAAGCACAGTATGTTTTTGGGGTTTTCAAGCAGATTTTCAATATAAGAGTCACCCTGTATTAAACTAAAAGTCCTTTTAAAGCAGTCAAATTTATATTTTAATATAAACCAGGTGGGCTAAAACAGATTTTAGTTATGTAGCACAGTCTGATCTCTAATGGGCAGGACTGTTAAATCTATTGTTGAAAATAATACCCTGTATTAAGGAAAGGAACTTAAATTTCAGTTTTTATTTTCATTCACTTCACGTCCTAGGGCTGTTCGATATAACGATATATATCGAATGACGATATAAAAACGTCTATTGTTTCATTTTACGCTATTGTTTGTTTCGTGGTGTCGTAAAATAAACTGTTTACGGCAATATTTTTTCATTATTTTGATGGTCACTGTAGTGGCTATATTAATTTCTTAAAGTTCTCTCTTTCTCTTATATTTAATATAACCACACTACGGACGGACAAGCGCCTGTTTTTATGCGTTGTCGTTAGAAACAACAATGATAAAACCATTGGTGTCCGCTTGTTTATTTTCCACATAAACCTTTCAGAATAAAGATCAAGATCCTGTTGAGACTTTTCAAAATAAACTGAATCACGTGAAAGAGCATGCAGAGTGTTTACGGATGAGAAGCAAAAAAGAGTCATCAGGTGCTAAAAAATAAACCTTAGACTCAAACGTTAGAACAGGCTTTTCCCCGCAGCACGCCGTGTAATAAATACTCACAAAGAAAGCGGCGGCCGTTACCACTTATGTCTAAAAATGTATCGTTTCATGCATCGGTTAAAACATTCGACTCCAGGTACACGACGCCCAGCTGGAAATACTTAACAGAAGTATATGTACTTTCATATGACAGCTTAAGTAAAGGCAAGCGATATCCTGGGTATGTTGAACTTACCCTTTTCTATAACAATCTAAAAACAAGCAAATAGTGAGAAGTTATTGATCTGATGATCAGTAATGTTGACACTGCCCACTGAGCTGTTTAACTGCATCGGGAAAGCTCAGTTTATTTCATAGGCCGCTAAACAGACAGAACATAAAAGTTCAGTATTGTCTGCTGTGTGCCTTAGGCTTCTTCTTGAGTTGCTGTCATCACTGAACTGCTTGCAGAAGTACTGTTTTATCCTCAGCACTCTAATGTTACTGAATATCATGAAATACTCTTAGCAGCAGATTCTATTAATGTCAGGCTATAAACATAACGCAGTGGCTTGCAGACATGATGAAATGGCTCGGCAGATTATCTTCCTCCTTACAGTTGATCGACATCTCTGATAAAGTTTAAGAAATCCAAACATACATGATCGCTAGCGGCTGTGCCTTTTTTCCGCCCCTTGCTTAAGGGGCTTTTTCCGCCCCTTAAGCAAGGGGCTTAAGGGTCACTATTACTTCCTAGGCTGCGCACACACAGAAATGACACCACTACGTCAAAGGAAATACCAGACAAATTCTGTTAAAGTGGCAGAGCTACTCTTAGGACAGAGCTACTGTCCTAAGAGTACCCCTTGCTTAATAAGTAGGACAGTCACGATCACAGGAAGCACAGTTGATTGAATTTTAATTCAGTTACAGTTTTGTCTTCCACTCATTTATTAACATAATAACGTTGTGTGTTTTCCAATAATGCTCTTGTTTGGCCACAAAGTGCATCCCTTTCCTTTGCATTTGGCCTGTTGTGTTTTTTGTTGTCGTTGTTGTTGTTTTTGTTTTGAGCGTGTAAGCAGTTGTGTTAAATCATCCCATTGTCAATACTCACGAAGTAATGGTGATGATGATTTTTGCCGTGATCAAGCAGCTCTAATTGTACGTTTACTCATTCGCCATCTCAGACATCTTATTTTATTAACTGCCTTGAAAGCTCACACGGCGCCATTCAGACTGCTGCACTCTGAGTTTAAATGGTTTTCTCTTCTTAGGAAAAAGGCCTTGGTTATGTGCAGGTTTAACCACACAAACCCTCTTTTTTTGTGTGTATTTCAGAGCAGCGCTGCAGCCCCGGGCAGTTTGCCTGCCGCAGTGGGAAGATGCAGTGTATCCCGATGTCCTGGCAGTGTGACGGCTGGACAGCGTGTGAGGACAAGAGTGACGAGATGGACTGTCCCCGTGAGTACGGCTCACTTAAGCCCTTTCACACCCAGTCTGTTACCTAACACCCATAACATGATTGATTTTTGGAAAGACTAGCAACACCCAGAACCTTTTAGAACCTTTTCACGCTTGGATGATCAGACCACAGCTGAGCAGCTCTGAATACAGGTGTGGAGGATGTAGCGCAATCTAATCAAGCCAAACTGAGAGACGTTCAGGTGAATATATGCACAGATTTAGTATGCAGGGTAAATGGAAGTTTTCTGCAGGTGATCAGCCATCAGTGCCTCAGTTTGTAAACAAAGACGCTGCTATTCCATGTCATTAATGAGCAGTGCCATCTACATACAGAAGAGTTGATTGAGTGAGTGTGTACTAAGGAATACGATGGAGTAAAAGAACAGGATGAACAGGACATGTGCTTTCTCTTTGAAAGGGCATGGCAGCTCAGATCAATGAGAGGCAGCTGAAGGAAAATCAATATGTTTTTGTTTTCTGGGTAATCTCCTTCCATCTAAACCGGTTATCCAGCTCATGGTTGTAGGGAGGCTGGAGTTAACCTGCCTATCCCACCTGGCTACACCCTGGACAGGTCACCAGTGCGCCAGACCTGTGCAGGGAAGCTTTGTGGAGCCCACAGCTTACACTTAGTCTTGTGCTGGTGCATTACATGTTAATTACAGTGTGGTCGTGTCCTGGTGTTCCATGCGATGCCAGGCAATGTCAATGCTTTGTTGTGGTCAGTGTTCTTCGGGGGCTTGAGGGGACTTTTTCCATTTCTTTGTACACTCCCTCGTGTTCATTCTGATAGTTTCAACAATCTCCCTCCAGGAATTTGCTGATATTTGTGAGTTCTAATATTGATTATTATTCCTTACATTAAGGCGATGATTTTATGCTCTCACTGATAAAAAACTGAACCAAAAAGTAGCCAGACATACACAGGAATAATTGACCAATCAGAGTAGTTGTGGGCTGCATTAACCCGATGTGTGGTTCCATTTCTAGGGAGGTGCATGTAAGGCTAATGCGTTGAGTTTCGACATAGTTAGGTTGTAGATTTCCTGCTAAAGCGTAATCCCACAAAAACACGGATACATAGCAATTCACACACCATCCATAAACATGCTTTTGCACTACAGGAGACCGTTGGAATACTAACTGGGTCTGAACTGGATGAAGCCAGAATATCTGTTTCTTTCTTTTCTTGTTCAGAAAAATCAGGGCCAGCTGATCATGGCCACATGTCAGTGGGGGGTTTTTTTCACAGTGCTATTTTTGACACTGAGCATTCACACGTTTGGTGTTCAGTGTGTATGTATGTTACTCAGCAAGTTCGGAAGTGGAAAATTAGGAATTACATGTCACTTGGGTGAATATCGGTAGTATTGAGGGCCAGAAATATGCGGCGCTCAGCCTTAAGTTTTTCTACTTTGAACACATGCCATCTCTCCTTCTCATTCCAGATAACTGAGTTAAATTCAGCACAGTTGGCAGTAAAATCACCTGCCTTTAGCATTAGTAGATCAGGTTTTATGACAATTAAATACCTGTGTCCACTCCTGTCAGTGCACCTCTTCAACAGATACTGACAATAGCTTTGTTTTTATCACAGAGGTTTTTCCTACCAAACGTAAAAATAGTAAATCTTGGCCCTTGCGTCCCTGTCTGAACTGCAGCATGGCATAGTTGCATTTAATACAATAACCACCCACATAAACAGTCCTGTCTCACTAATTTGCTTTTGCTCAGCAGCTCAGATGTGGTTTTGTAGTCCTCATAGTCCCTCACAGTGAGTCCGCTCTATTGACAGCGTCAGATGGCAGGGGAAAGAAGGGTTAAAGGCTGAGTGGCTGCACATGTGTCTCTGTTTTTGTTTACTGCTGGTTCATCTGTCCCACACTGCATAGATGTCACTAAGCCTTTGACCAAAATCCTATTGTTCTCCGCTTAAATCTAGAAAGACCTTATCCCGAGATCTCTGACAGCATAACAGGAGTTAGTGAAAGGATTGAGTGCAGCATGTGACCTCCATACAGCAGCCGTGCACGCTCCGAGTTAACACTCCATGTTGGCACTGCTGTTAAACGATTAAGGGTTCACACTGAAGTCTATTCATTCTGCAGTAAAACCACATTTTTAACAGAACAGCTTAAGAAGTTGAGAAGTAATTTCCTTCTGCTTCTTTTTCTTTCTGTTTATTCAGCAGTAAAACTGGACAAGTTCATATATCTGATAGTCTGCATGTTTAGAGGGACGACTGCTGACCTTTTGTTTTTTTAAGTGTGAGCTTACTGAGAAATGCAAGCCTTACTCAAGTCACAGCAAGGGCTTATTGTCACGTTAATCAGCGGCTTGCTGGAGAGTCTTTGTTCTTGTTAGGGCATTTGACTTTTTTAATAACACTAAAAGGTGAAGCAATCCTTCAATCTTATAATAACAGCAGAGTGGCCGATGCAAGAAGAAACGTCTCAACTTTACAGTTGAGAAACTGAAAAGTGGAAAATACCCAGCTGAAGGCCAGTCACTGTATGCAGTGAAAATTGTGGCTACAGATTGTTGTCATTAGAGATGGACCGATCCGATATTATGTATCAGTATCGGTCTGATACTGACCTAAATTACTGGATCGGATGTCGGAGAGAAATAAAAAATGTAATCCGATCCATTAAATGTCACGAAAGCACCTCACAAAACTTGCGACATGGCGTAACTCAGCTCATAACCTTAGCACATCAGAGCAGTATGCGTCACGTGATAGAGCGGCTGTGGCGTGCGAGACCTCTCGGCGGTCTGGTTGAGCATTTGGAGCCTCGCTACCAAACCGGCATTTCATCTCCGAGAAAGTTAACCCAGAGAGAAGTAAAGCAAGTGTGTAAGTTCATCTGTGAATGTTTGTAAAGCATTCCCACGTTAAGCTTAACAACCGATCTATGGAACGACTGCCTCTCATTCTCTCCTGTTGCTACTTCAATCATAAAACTGATCAATGATCAGCTGATCAGCTTTTCTGTCGGGAGTCCGTCTCTCTTGTTAGTTTTTGGCCCACTTCTCACCAGAAAGAGGAAACCAGCGGCTAAACAACAGCAGCACGTTTAAGCTTGATAAGCTGTTGTTAGAATTTATTTAATATTACTTTCTACACCAGGATCCTTTTCTACGTAGCTGACGGCTGGTAACTGTGCAGGGGCGGATCTAGCAAAGTTATGCAGGGGGGCCGATAGGGCATGAACAGGGAAAAGGGGGGCATACTTTACTTTCTTATTCTCATTTAAAATGTCTAGCTTTTCCCTATTTTTTTCTGCTGGTAGTTGGCAACCCTGTTAGTTAGGTTGTTTAATATTTCTACTAAATACTCTTTAAAACACCAGAATTGGAAGGATTGAGCAGGTTTAAGTTTATTAGATTGATCAGTGTTGCTGAACTATGAAATATTTTGGGTGCAGTGTATTTTTTGCATACAGGTATAACAGAATAGCTTTAGTGTTTTGTTTTGTTTTTAAACTTGAGTATAAACTTGAAATGCAGCAAGATAAAAAAGAAGTTTTATTGATTAAAAATTACACTATATCGGATTCATATCGGTATCGTCAGATATCCAAATTTATGGTATCGGTATCGAACATAAAAAATGTGGTATCGTGCCATCTCTAGTTGTCATGAATCTCAGTGCAAAATCAAAATAAATGCTGTTATAAATGTAAACAAAGTGTATGCTCCTCAAATTTGGTGGTGTTTTTTCAGTTAAGTTCTTCAGTATTTGCTGTTTTTATAGCCTGCAGTTCCTTCCTTTTTGAAGCATCAGTCAAAAACAAAATCTCATTGAGTCATGTAACAGAGAAATAGTCTTTTTTTTATCTGCTACCCATTACTCCCTTCAGGGGTCGCCATTGTCTCACACCAGCCTGTCCTCTTTTCTACATCACCACATCCATGAACCTCCTCTGAGGTCGTCCTCTCTTCCTTCCTGCCTGCTCCAAATCCAGCATCCGTTGTCCAATATAGCCACCATCACAAAAAGCAACACACTTCTGGTTGTTGTGCCAGAGGTGTTTTGCTAATAGGGAAGTTGCAGAGGGCCCTCTGGTGGACAGATTATGCAGCATCAACACAGAAAAGCAGTTGAAGGCTGTTTCTCTTGTCTTTTCACATTTTAAATGCTCATTTATTAGCTGTTATAAATGCCAATATTGGTAAACACCTATTATCTGCTGATATATCATATGTGCTCTAAAATCTCCAAGCATATTTCCCGTTTTTAAATCTGATCTTTTTCTTCTAGTTTATACTAAGAAAAAGTAGTAAAGATGCCACAATTGAGACAGTGTGCTTTCTTTATAGTTTGTAACATACCTACGTACTTTATTTTCTTACTAGCTAGTCAAAGAGTAGCAAGAGATCCATCACATTAACAACTTTGTCATTAAAAAGTGTATATTATATTGTGTTGCACATAGACAGTACTGGGGTGCTTCCCTCAGTCTAGACTTTAGTCTCTGTGAACTCCTGATAAAACACAGTAGAGGATGCTATCTGCACAGTCAGCAAAGCATTGCTTCTGCTTTCATATTCCTCAGATTAGAATCAGCCTCAGTATATATTTTAATTTCACTGATGTGTGGTGGTTTTGACTTCTAAATATTATCGCGGGCTGTTAACAATTATCCTACACACTGAAAACACCATCTGTTGTTCTCAGTTACATTTATTATGGCAGAACATACAAACAAGTCCACTTTTTTAACCTTTTTGTCTTCATTTGTGCTGTTATAAAAGAGGAGAGGTTTCGTTATGGCAGCGGGTACGACCAGGTGGAAGACGTCATCGGTGTGGCTCAGCCGGTGCGCTTCAACAGTAAGCGTCTCACTTTGCTCTCAGCAGGTTTATTTGAATCGAATCTGCATGGCGATCATGTGCTCACTCTTGTCTTCTCTGTCTGCAGAGAAATGCCCCAGCGGGTGGCATCACTACGAGAAAACAGCGAGCTGCTACAAAGTGTACCTGAAGAACGAGAACTACTGGCAGGCCGTGGATACGTGTCAGAAAGTCAACGGCTCGTTGGCCACGTTTGTGACCAACGAGGAGCTGCAGTTCATACTGAAGATCGAGGTGGACTTTGACGATAAAGTGTGCAGAGATCAGTGCAAGTAAGTTTTCTTTATTGCCACAGAAATAAGCTGTCAGGTTTCAGTTCCTGAACAGAGATCTCATTTCAGTCGTTAAACTTCCGCATTAATTCTGGTTTGTTTTTGTTTTTTTAATAAGGAAGATATTGCAGTGAAGTGTGTGTGCTTGTTGTTTTAGATGTTATACTGCTCTGTAGCTGGTTGCAGGCCATCTAGTGGCTGGTAGTAGCTAATGCATAATCACTAGACATGGTGTAAGTGGTGTTGTTTGTTTCAGATTTTGGGTGGGTTACCAGTATGTGATCACCAATCAGAGCCACTCCTTGGATGGCCGCTGGGAAGTAGCATACAAAGGTATAAAAGATTCAGCTTTATGAAATACCTACATGTGCTGTTTGTCTTCTGTAATTTATTTTAATGCTTTAATGTGTTAATTGTTTGTGTTCAGGCTCTATGCAGGTGTTTTTGCCTCCTGAGGGTCTGAAAGACTTGGGGGAGGCCTCCGCCACCCAAGACAATGTCTTCTGTGCGCAGCTGCAGCGCTTTCAGTACAAAAGCATGAACGAGCGAGGCCTGCACAGCTGGCACGCTGAGAACTGCTACAAGAAGTTTCCATTTCTGTGCAAGAGGAGTATGGGTTAATTTTCTGTTTGTTATCAAAAATGTGTCAGTTATTTGCTCCGCTGGGGCCATGTGTTTATTTTGATATTCTCTGTGCCACAGGGCAAACGTGCGTGGATATAAAAGACAATGTCGTAAACGAGGGCTACTACTTCACCCCCAAGGGAGACGACCCGTGTCTCAGCTGCACGTGTCATGACGGCGAGCCTGAGATGTGCGTCGCCGCGCTGTGTGAGCGGCCACAAGGCTGCCAGCACTTCCGCAAGGATCCCAAAGAGTGCTGCAAGTTCACCTGCCTCGATCCAGGTACTACCACCGCATCCAAACACATCTCACTGGTTACAAACCACCACCAGTGTGTAATGATCATCAGTGATTAGAAGCCTTCCAGTGCTCGTAGTCCTATAAGATGTTATTCTGCATTACGATTCGTCACCTACACATTTTTACACTGTTTGATATTCAGTATATTAAGTTACATGAGTCAGGAGGATTCAAATTGCCTCATTTATATAAACAATTAGCTCCTGCTTCTCTTCTAAATAGTGCTGCAAGAAAAAGATGTGTTGTTTGTGTTGTTTAATGTGCAAATTGTGTCACATTCACACATAAACGGTGCAGAATTTCCTTCAAAGCTCAGCAAAAGAAAGTTTTTAACTAAGTACGTTTGCAAGGACATATCCTGATTTGACTAGATTTTTCCCGTCTTCTCCGTCAGATGGGAATAGTCTGTTTGACTCGATGGCCAGCGGGATGAGGCTGATCGTCAGCTGCATCTCGTCCTTCCTTATCCTCTCTCTGCTGCTCTTCATGGTACACAGACTCCGTCAGAGAAGGCGTGAACGCATCGAAACGCTGATTGGAGGAAACTGTGAGTAAAGTGTTGCAGCACTAAGATCCAAAGTTTACACCTGTGGTCACTTTTTAATCTTTGTCTGTATGAGGAACGATTTAAAATGCTGAGATAAAAATCTTCCTTTCTAAAAATGAAAACTCATAAGGATGGCAAAAATGGCCACAAACAACAGTAAATAAATAAATAAAATAAATGTTGAAATTAATTCTAAATATTCATATTTATGTTTTAAGCTACTTATTTTTATTAATTCATTTAATTTTCCCTCTAGTTTTATGCTTTATACATCTAAAATGTATTTGTTTGTTTTTTATTTATATTTTACATTTATTTATATTTTTCTGCAACTTCATACAAATGAGGGTAACAACAGTCTCGGCTGTTGCTGCAGTCACATTGGGGAAATTGGTTGTTGGAGATGGCAGCACAAAGTTTTTGTGACAACTTACAATCTTGTTGTTTTTGAAGTGGTTGCTTTGGAAACGGAAACCAGATCTGCGACCACTCTCGGTCAGTTGCCATCTTCAAAGCATCTTAAGTGCGATAAAACAGCAATAAGACAGAGATGATAATGCAATCCATTATTATTATTATTATTATTATTATTAGATGGTCTGAATAATCCAAAAAGCTCACTTTAAATGCACCTTAAACTTTAAACTCTGCTTTAATCTCAGTGCACCACTTTAACCTTGGAAGACGAGTCCCAGGCTTTGACTACGGCCCGGACGCCTTCGGCACTGGCCTCACTCCCCTGCATCTGTCCGATGATGGGGAGGGAGGCGCTTTTCATTTCCAAGAGCCTCCTCCGCCTTATGCAGCCTACAAATACCCCGACATCCAGCATCCTGACGACCCCCCTCCTCCATACGAAGCCTCCATAAACCCAGACAGCCTCCTCTACGTGGACCTCGGTAGGCGCACGTCCTTTTCTCTTGTTCTTTACAAACATGTTCATGTGCGGAGTGATAAACGCTCTCGTTTCCCACTTCTCTGTCTGCGTCTGTATCTTCAGGGCATGGTGGGGTTTCCATCGTGCCGAGCCAGATGAACGCCATGGGTGACGGGCTCCAGGCCAATATTCCCAACGCGACAGGCCCGGTGCCAGACTCCGCGCCGTCCTGTCAGGAGAGGGAGGACTCCATAGACAGCAGCACCCTCCTGGTGGGGCCCGACACACCGACAGATGGCCACGCCCCCGCCTCCATGCCTGCAGACTGCGCCTCCTCCCTCAGCACCGTGGTATAAGACTGTGGGCAGACACCTGCACATTACCCACAGTTGGAGGAGGGTCGTAGATGTTTTCCGCACCAGGAGCACAAAATGCTGACTGCAGAGAGGACAGTTACAGTTTGTACAGACTCATCAGAGTGTTTTTGTTTTGTTTTGTTTTGGGTTTTTTTAAAGACAATGACATCTGAAGGAGCAAAGAGACAAAAACTCTACATCCAGGCCGAGAAGGCCACACTTCTGCTTTTAGCCCAGACTGAGAAAAGCTTTTCAAACATCTCAAAACGGGCCTGTTGGTCATAAAAAAACAAAGCCCCTAGTGTAAATACACCCTTTGGTCAGATTTGTAACAGCACGAGGAAAAATAACCGCATACGAACAGAAGAGCCAACTTTTGTTTGTGTTTGCGGCATATTTTCAAACACATACGTATCAATCAGTGTTCAGGCTACGATAACTTTCTCATCCACCCCACAGTCTGTCGCAGCGCGTACAGAAACTGTCCCCTGGCGTTTATTAGTCTGACACACGAAGCTGTCTTCCTGGTTTTTAGAGCAAGTTTGCAGAAAAACATGTTTTGTAGTTGAGAGGTTCAACCTCGCGAGATACGGCTAAATTTCCTGCTGTGGGGTTTTTATCGGGCGAAGCTGACATGTGGCGTGGTAGTGTCAAAGGATGTTGTGCTCTTTTTTTTCTTTTTCTTTTTCTTTTTTTGATAATAATTTATGGCTGCAGGTCGTTACCTTGATTGTTTAATTGTGGGATAGATATAGGCTGATTTTCTTTCCCTGGCCATCAACAAAGCGACAAAGGCTTTATGAGTGTATATGTGAAGATCAAATTTGAAAAACCAAAAAAAAAAAAAAATCATTTATGAGATAAATGCTCCAATCATTAAGTCGTATAATCATCCAGATGGTCCCAGAGTTGCTTCTGTTTCATCACCAACTTTTTCCAGGATAATTCTGCATTTTCTTGGTGATTTAATTCCTCCCTCGGTTGGCTCAGGCGCGTTTCTGTGCTATTCTTCGTGCAGTTGCAACTCCGTTACTGAGTTTTGTTTTCCGTTAGTGATGGGATGTCAGCAACTGCAGCGGCGGGATTTTTTTTTTTTTTTTTTTTTTATGTGTCAGTGATGAGGGTCTGTATACTTGGGGAGAATTACGGTGTCAATCATCAGAGGAGTAATCGTCTGCAGATCAGAGCTGACCCACAACCACCAGCATCCAAGCCGCTCATGATCTGCCTCGAGGAGGGAAAAACGGCTTAAACATGTCAGACTGTGCACATCTGTATAACTTATGTTTGAATGTATTGTATGTAAAAAGAAGTTGGTTTTTTGGGGGTTTTTTTTGCTTGTTTTTATTTTATTTTTTTTGTTTAAACTACCCCCCCCCCTTTTTTTTTTTTCTTTACTTTGACAATCCACAGTGGATTATCCAAGAAACAAAATCATGTTCACAGAAATTGTGGAAAAGTGTTCATGTGTGTTTAGGAAATGATGTATTCAGTTTGATTTTTCTCATTATGTTTTTTTTTTCTTATTTTAAATCAAGTTTCTTTTTCTTTTTTTGCGTTTTCGACCTGTGGTGCATGTTTTTAATCTTTTGGCATGCTGAGAGATTTTTAGTTTTAGTTTTTGTTCTTTTTGATTTGGACAAAAATGTTTTATGCTCAACCGTGTGTCCTGTACAGTAGGCTCAAAAGACTCCTGCATATAGTTTGATGTCCCCGTATGCATCCAAAACGTGCCCACCACAACCCATCCGGCTGCATTTACACTGTAGTTTCTGTGCTAGAAGGTGGTGTTGATGGTGGCGTGAGAGCTTGTTTTTTGGATTTGGAGGGGGGGCGGGGTTTGAAATGTTTTATGTACAATACAGCAGATGCTACATTTCATTGTTGTTTATTTCATAGCCTTTACCATTTAAAAAAGAAATGCTTAATTTGCAGGGGAGCTTGTGTTTTTTTCTGAGGTAGATGTACATCTAATCAAATGCCAAATAAATTGCACCATGAAGGACGAGCTTGTGCGTCAGTGGCTCTGAACACATGCTGAACTTTACGTTGAACCTCGCTACATCGTGACATTTAGCTGGTCTGAGAGGCTTTGAGGAGGAAATTCCTTCGCCTGCGGTCACCAAATGTCAAATTAGATTAAGGTGGGATGCAGGGAAATCCCCCCGCCTCCTCGCACCAGTGTCCGATACACGGCAATCAAAAGATTCTCATAATTTAAAGAAAGCGGATATAGTGCACCTCGCGGTGACTCACAAGGGGGCAGGCGGAGAGGAGAGAGTGATACCCAGCCGAGAAGCACCGTCGGAGAAAAGAGGCTTTGTTCATGCAGGCTGAGTAGTGACGGAGTCGCACAATCTATTCCTGGATGGGAAACACGTAACACTTAACACTGAGCTGTTAGGAGAGGAAGTGTAACATCACTTAAAAACATGCGTTTAAGTGTAAAATTAGGTGTTAATTTCAGGGTTTTTAATTGGATTCCCAGAGCTTGGCACTGATTAGAGGGTGGTCCCTTCCACTGTAAAGCGTGGGGCAGTGATGAGAAAATAAAAAGAGAACCTCTGAAGTTTAAACACGGTCTCATTTTTACAGCCTCTTTATACCGAGTCATATATATTCTGTTCACTTCTAATCCAGCCTCCTAACACATCCTCTGACTTTCCCATGAGATGAATGGGTCTTGTTACTAGTCACTGGGCATCTATGCTTACAGCAGCAGCAGCTGGGGAGGTGGGGGTGTGTGTGGGTGTAGGGGGGGTGAAGCTCTCCCTGCATCAATGAGCCTGTTTATCAGAAAAGACCACTAGACTGGTAATGACACGGTTCACTGATCAGTCCAGGAGAAAGTAAATCTCAGCTTTCTCCTTCCTTCCTATATTTAAGCCGGCCGTTCGCCCTCAATTGTTTCAGTCTACCTCACTGTGCGCTCCACCGGGATCCTGGGATGATTTGGGCCGCAGCTCTCCTCGTGATCGTCGGCTCATACGCTGACTCAGGTGAGGGCACGACTCGGGTCTCGCGGGGTGAAAAGATATTGCGAACGTCTCTTATGCGCAATTTCGTGTAATTGGATGGAAGGGAAAGAAAGGTGATGTTTGTCGTCACTGTGCCGTTTTCATTTTGCAGATGACTACTGTTATGATGAGCCACATTGTGGTGAGTAACTTGTTTATTTTTTAATTTTAGAACGAGCGCTGTCACTATGTCACATTTTCACTTTACGATTAGAACAGTGAAAAGGATTCACGATGATAGTATGAAATCTTTAGAAAGGATTTTATCAAATTCCATCAATGACACAGTTACAGTGTACACTACAGACCAAATGCCCACTTCTTTGGTTACACCTTGCTCGTACCCCTTTTGCTTTCAGATCTGCCTCAATTCTTGATTCAACAAGGTGCTGGAAATACTACTCAGTGATTTGTCAGCTGAACGCCCATGATCCAAATCTCCTGTTCCACTAAATCACGGATGTGCTCTATTGGACTGAGATCTGATGACTGTGGAGGGCATTTGAGTACAGTGAACTCATTGTCATGTTCAAGAAATTGAGATGATTTGAGCTTTGTGACATGGCATGTTATCCTACTGGAATCAGATGATGGCCACACTGTGGTCATAAAGGGATGGACGTGACCGGCAACAATACTCTGGTAGTAGTGCTTTAATGCTCAGTTGCCATTGCACCACCAGCAGCCTGAACCATTGATACCACACAGGATGAGTTCGTGCTTTCATATGGTTCACACCAAATTCTGACCATCTGAATGTTACAACAGTCAGTCACGTGGCAGCAACTGAATGCTATTAGGCATGTAGACATGGTCAAGGGGGCATATTGAAGTTCAAAATGGGGATTTAAGTGACTTTGATTGTTGGTTCCAGATGAGCTGACTGAGTATTTCAGAAACTGCTGATTTGCTGGGATTTTCCACACAACCATGTCTAGAGTTTACTATACGGGGTCTAAAAATAAATAAATAAATAAAGGACAAAATATCAAGTGGGCAGCAGAGAGGAGAATAAAGAGGCAGACTGCTTCAAGCTGAATGAAAGGCAACAGTAAATAACCAGTTGCTACAACCAAGGTGTGCAGAAGTGTGTGAATCTTGAAGCAGATGTGCTACAGTAGCAGAAGAGACCACATTAGGTATCACTCCTGTCAGCTAAGAACAGGAACCTGAGGCTACAATTCACATGAGCCCACCAAAGCTGGAAAATAGAGAGTTGAAATGTTGACGCTTGGTCTGATGAGTCTCGATTTCTACTGCAACATTTGCCTGCGAGGATCAGAAATAACATGAAAGGATGGATCTATTCTGCCTTGTATCAACCTGGTGGTGGTGTAATGGTGTGGGTTTCTTGGCACACTTTGGGGCCCTTAGTACCAACTGAGCATCATTAAAACTCAACAGCATATCAGCCGGATGGTTGCTGACCACATCAACCCAACAGAGCACCTTTGGGATGTGCTGGAACAGGTGACTGACATCATGGATGTGATGCTCGCATGTCAGTGTGGACCAAACTCCGGGGAATTTTTCCAGCACTTTGTTCAATCTCTGCCATGAAGAGTTAAGGCAATGCTGAAGGCAAAAAGACTTCTATATTAGGAAGCTGAAGTCACTGTTGAAAGTCTAAAGTATCCTTTCAAAATAAAAGCCAAAATATCAGATATTCAGAAAGCATGGGTTGTCCTAAACTGATTGCTGTGAGCTTATTTTAAGGTTAAGCAAGCAAGGTTCTTCTCTTACACTTTTTAGTTGTCTGTCTGGAGCTCATGAGTGTTCTTTCACATCCTCAGATCCTTACTCATGGGGAGACATGGTCCCTTCCTGTTACCCTTTACTTGATCACCATCACTCTCCCATCAACTTGGACGAACACATGGTCAGAAACGCCTCTCTGGGTGCAATGTATCTAGAGGGCTTCGAGGAGACGCAAACAGGCCACTGGACGCTCAAAAACGACGGGCACTCAGGTGAATAGCCCGCATATTGTAGCGCGTTTTTGTCGCGTGGGCGCTGGGGGTGACGCGTGCGCTGTTGCTCTCAGTCATACTGCAGGTCGGCAGCGGCATGGCGGTGAGTGGTGGCGGTCTTCCAGATGTGTACCACACCATCCAGCTGCACTTCCACTGGGGAGGTCCGGCGTCCAACGGCTCAGAGCACACTGTGGACAGACGCAGATACCCAATGGAGGTACAGTATGGTCAGTAGACGGAGTTACACAGTCACAAGCCACCTGTCTAAGCACACAGATGCAGTGCAGCCTTCCCTTAATGTCTCTGTGGACTTTCTTTACTTCCAGATGCACATAGTCAACATGAAGTCCATCCATCCAAATCTGTCTGCAGCCCTCGACGATCCAACGGGACTTGCCGTTCTTGGATTCTTCATTGATGTCAGTTTATTTCTCAGCCTAGTCCTTAACTACATTTTTAAGAATTTTTAAAGCAAAACTATTAAGACATTATCATATTTCTCAGGTTGTGTATGCAGATAATGTGCACTTTGGACACATCTCACAGAAACTCTCCTCTGTTGCTTACAAAGGTGAGTGGAGCCTTAAGGAAAATCCACTCCTGCCTTCTTGTGTTAGTCGTAGCAATGTTCTCATTATGTCTGTGCATCCTTCCCCCAGGGCAAGCAACTAAAGTAAAGCCATTTCCTCTAATGAGCCTCCTGCCGAAGCACAACATGAGTCAGTATTACCGATATTACGGCAGCCTTACCACCCCTCCATGTTCTCAAGCGGTTGTGTGGACTTTGTATGAGGTCCCCATCTACATTTCATGGTCCCAAGTAAGTCGCCTAGGTTCAGAGCAGGTTTTATTATTTTTTTTAAAGACTTTAAAATATTATTTTTGGGTTTGTTTGTCTCCTCAGCTGGCTCAGTTTACCTCGCAGATCTTCTCCACAGAGGAGGACGCAGAGCAGGTGACCCCTCTCCAGAACAATTTCAGACACATTCATCACATCTTCAGTCGCGTTGTCTCAGCCTCCATAGATGCCAAACTCCTCAGAGGAGCGGCTGGTCGAACCCTCTTGTCTGCTACATCAGTGCATCTGCTTCCAGTCCTTTTACTGGGAGGCTTCTTATCTGGACTTTAGCACCATGTTAAATCCAAGGCGTGAAATAGTACAACACCAAAATTAAAATTAAATAAATAAAGAACAGGTTAGTTGAACTTTTCATTTAAGGAGAAGTTTTCAGACATTTAGAAATACTCTAGGAAAGACAAGCAAACTGTGAAGAAGAGTACTGTAAGTGTTATTTAACGTCTTATGTGTTTTCAGGAAATTTGATTTCATTAGCATGTTGCTAACCGTTTCATGTGAAGCCTTTTGCATTCAAAGTGTGCTTTTAAAAACTACAACCTAATGTACATGCGTATATCCTTTGTTTTTCTGTAGGGAGCAATTAAAAAATAAAAATAAAAGCGAAGTTAAGTCAAAGCAAAACTTTGGAAATTGGGTTTGTTAGCATAGCATGTTAGCATGCTAACAAGGTTGATTGTTTATAAAACATTTGAAAAATGAAATGTATTGGTCAGGCATTTTAAGCTGATGATAATGATTTAAAAAATATGCCCAAATAACGCAGTAATGCAGATTTATGAAAAAAGTAAAGAAATATATAAAGACAAATACAATTAGATCTATAATTCATTAGACAACAACATAATTTCCATGCCCCTATATGTCACTACAGTGGATTTCAAACAGTTGAGATGTGATTTAAATGAGAATTTTAGTTTTAATTTAAAAAGTTTTTATAAAATTTATATACCGTCTTTTAATTAATTGAACAAACCCATATGAATTTAAGCATAAAGATTGTTGAAACTGACACTCTTACTTCCTCAAGGGTCTGACTAGATGTGAAACTGTTTTTTCTTTACCATCGAAATAATTCTGTGGTCATCCACTTCACCCTTTCTGTGGTCTTTCAGACCTTTTGGATGTCGCCAAGCTGGCTAGTATATTTATTCCCTTTAAG